ATAATTATAGTTGACATACAGTATTATTCAACATCAGTTTCAGAAATACAATGTGGTGGTCAGGCCTCTACATCAACTATGAAGTGGACTCCCCAACAGGACATGGGTCCATCTGGCCCCCTAAGAAATACTTACAACATTGGTTGTTCCTTCTCAAGGCCTGTTGCATAGCTGTTGTTCTGGAACTTCCCTTCCCCATCATCCTAGATGTCTTCACTCTTATGTTGAGTCCTCTATTTCCTGAATCCCAGGCTTCCTCTTTTTGTTTTCATCATATTTGTGACTCACATTCTGCAGTTTCTTCCTGAGAAAGTATACATAGGAGATAAGCATTTTGCATGTCTAACGTGGCCTACTCTCAAATTTGATGGATAGTTTGTCTGGGAAAGAAAATCTAAGTTGAAAATTACTTTCCTCGGAATATTGAAGGTATTGTTTCATTGCCTTCAAATTTCCAAGTTGCTATTTAAAAATCCTATGGTATTCCTACTCCCAATCCTTTATACATAAACTATTTTTCTTTTTTTGTACTCCTCTCTGGATTTTAGGACTTTCTTTGTTTCCTGTGTTTTTCATTTATTTGTTTGTTTGTTTTGGTCTCTGGTCATCACAACAATTTACTCATATATAAAAGTGAGAACCAAAAGGGTGAGTGACAGTTCAGCATGCATGGATGGAGCTTGTTCAAAACTAGTGGACATTCGGGGAATATAATCAATAATGTTGCAACTATTTTGTAGGGTGTCAGATGATCACGTGTCTTTTTAGGGAGATCAATTCATGAATGGGGTAGACGTTTGATCACTGCACTGTACACCTGAAGTTGATGTTGTACAATATTGTATGTCAACTATAATTGAATATATATATATATATATATATATATATATATATATATATAGTCACAGAATGTGGAGTATAGTGTGGGAGTGGAGTCAATGGAATTGTAATAGATATGTATGATATGAGAGGGGGAAATGGGGCAGCGGATTGGGGGATGGGGGTTGTCACTTTGAGGGGTAAAAAGTATAACTATTGCACTGTGTTGTACAGCTGAAACTAATTTAAAAAAAAAATCACCTGGAACTAGAGAGACCTGTTCAGAGATGTAATAATGACTAGTGTCTGAAGCTCTAGAAGAGGCTTGTTGCTGTTGTAAAAAACAAACAAACAAAAAACTAGCCATTTATTTGGTAAATACTTTTGGTCAGTATTTCCTGTTAGACTGGTCAGTTTCTCCAGATAAAAGTAATTCAGTTTTTTGTTTTAGGTATTTCTAATTATACTGCATTTGGGGGGAAGAGAGCCTGCTTGGTATGTGGGCTTTCACTTAATCCCACACTTTTCAATACGGCACTCTGCTCTACCCAGTGCTGTAACCCTGAGTCCTCAACTTCAAAGCTTCTTCAGCTCAGTGTCTGCATGAATACATCTGCTCCAGTCCCCTGCCCAGGGCGGATGATCAATCCCCCCATTGCATGGGGTGGGGAAAGGGATATGAAGTCTAAGGGTTTTATTTAGGCCTCTCTTTTGGAGTCACACCCTACACCATTTCCTGGCTCCGCCACTGTGTGTCCCTGAGCGTATCATCTAGGGGTCTCAGTTTCCTCCTCTGAACTCTGAGGGCCTTTGAGACACATGTGTTCTCTAGGGCCCTCTCAGGCCTGGCCTTTTGTGATCTGTGAAACGTCACAAGGTGAAGCTCACAGCCTTGTGAGTAACACAGACAGGAAGCTACAGGAGGTCAAGAAAGGGGAGGTGACAATGGGACAGAGTGATAGGGAGACTTCTAAAAAAAGGTGGGCCTTAAGAAGAACTAAAGCAGCTTGGAGAAGGGGTGAGGAGGGAGCACCTCCTCAGGTGGTCCCAGTTGGAGATGTATTGGAGCAGGGTTGCAGCAGCACTTGGGGCCTGGTAAGGAAACAGAGGATTCTAGAGGACGATGAAGTTGGAGAGTAAACTTGGGCCGGATTGTGGGGAATTTGATTCTCCTCTCTAAGTCAGTGGATCTGATATTTAAAATCACCTGAAGAGCTTTAAAAAATGCCAGACCTTATAAATCAGAATGTCAGAGAGTAGAGCCCAGGAACGTACATTTCTTTAAACGTTCCACATGACTGACAAACTGGAAAGTTTTGGAAACCACTTCTTTAGGCAATGAAACATAGATGGTTTGTTATCAGAAATCATGATGAAAGTAAGTATTTTAGAAAGAGGAATGTTGAGAGACAAGAGATAAGGACGCATGGGAAGCAAAGTCACTATCCCAGGCAGAAAGTCATGAGGGCCTACAGGAGGGAAGTGATTAGGGAGTGAGAAAGAAGAACCTTTGCCAATCCATATGATATGGTTTAAATTCTATTCCCCACTCCATCAAATTTATATGTCAAAGTCCTAACCCCTATACCTCAGATTGTGACCTTATTTGGAAATAGGGTCATTACAGATGTAATTAGTAAAATTAGGATGAGGTTATCAGGATGGGCCCTAATCTTACTAGTGTCCTTATAAAAAGGGGAAATTTGGACACTGGCAGACACACATGACAGAAAATGACGTGAAGAGAAATAAGGAGAAGATGGCCATCTACAGACCAAGGACAGAGTCCTGGAACAGATCTTTCTCTCACAGCTCTCAGAGGGAACCAACATTGCTGACACCTTGATCTTAGACTTCTGGCTTCCAGAACTGTGAGACAATAAATTTCTGTTTTTTAAGCTATTCGGTCTGTGATCCTTTGTTATGGCAGCCCGAGCAAACTAATACATCTTTTGGAAAAACATTCCTGGATTTCAAGTCACCTCTTCTTCACTTTCTCATGAACAATGATTCCCCAAACCCACCTTCCTGAGAGGGCTGGAAGCAGTGGTTGCAGAGTGAGGTATGTGTTTCCAACCTGAAGCATTGGATGCTCTTGTTCTTGACTAGTGAAGGGGGGTGGCTTTTCTAGGTCATTGATAAATTTGTTTCCAGAACCCACCTGAGAAATCACAAAGAACCAACTCCAGTGATTGGAAATTGCTGGACGGAAATGTCCATTCTCCCCACCTAAAGAAGCAATCAGTGCCAAGAATCTCAGACTGTGGGTAAAGCCAGAGGAGAAAGGAGACTTATCTTTGTGGAGCTTTTAACATCCTGCCAATGGCTCATCTGGAGAGAAAAGAGATGCAAAAGGTGGAACAACCTACAAAAAAGGTAAACCCTGGCTCTGTCATTTTATGATGTAGGCTTTGCTGAAATAATTATCCCTCCTGGCTAAACAAATAATTTCCAAGAACTCTATATATCAAAGTCAGTGGCATGATGATTGATGTAACCCCATGGGACTAAGGACAGGCAAGTCTACCACAGAGCTCTTGGCTTCCAGCCATTCAGTGCTGCCCTTGTAAACATCTTTGGCCCCCTTAGCCCTTTTACCTGCCAATGCTCCCAACACCAACCCTCATGCTAGGTCACCTGCCATCTGCTCACTCCAGGGCTGCCAAGTTTTGCTAGGGAAAGTATCACATCTGTACCACAGGGCCTGTTAAGTATCCCCACTCTCCAGCCACATCGGGCCCTCTCTGCTCCTGTGGTTATCCATCTGGAGTTGGCTTTTTGTTGTTTCCCTCCCAGCCCATGCAAAGAATTTTCTAGGCTCCGCAAGTCTCCAGTTTCATCCCCACTGTATCTCACTTTCATCTGAGAATGTCGTTTTCATTTTCCTGTGAAGTAAAAAAATCTTTGGGCATGCACTACCTCAATTCTGTTTCTCTCCACCTTAAAACTTCTCTTTGTCTACATCTATCCTCTCCTGGGTTCCTCCTGTTTCAGAGAAAGGGGTGATGTTTCATTTCCTTGTCCAGGCAAACTCATCTCTGCTCTGGATCCTATTCTTCATTATAACATCAATTATCTCATTTGATTAAAAAATCTTTTATTATAGAAAATTTTAAACACACACAAATAATCTATTTTACTTTTTGTATTTTCAAACTTACCTGGCTTTCTTGCCTGCAAGATCAGATCTCCTCCAGCCTTAAAAAAAAATGTTTTAACTGTTGTAATCTTGCTATTCCCTTGAGCTGTTTCCTAATCTCTTTTTCTTTTTAAGATTGTATTGGGGAATTGGGGGAGGGGAACAGCGCTGGGGAATCAGGGGAAGGGGAACAGACAAGTTGCTGTCCTTTTGTTCTTCAGTCTAGTTGTGGAGGACGTTGCTTCACTGGCCCATGTTGGTAT